ATTATCACTTATTGATAGATACTAATTAGTGCAATAAAAGCAGAGGGTCTTATTTCAAAAAACGTTGTTTAGTGGTAACAAAATATAAAAGAATACCAGTTAATTAACTTTTCATTGTGTTCCACTGCTATTAATATGAACAAATTGGTCTTGGTTTTGTTCTTTGCGCACTTAACAAAAGCTGGTTGAAATTCTGTTGTGGGAGATAATCTGCTCCTACCCCAGCAATTATCCACAATTATCATGAGTGTTTAAATACCATAGCAACAGCTCCTCATTATCTGTGTCAGGTGGAACAAGTAGAATTGTGGATAATCAAAAAATAATTTGCATGTGAAATACTTTTAAAACACCTGAATATTATAATAATTGTATCTTAAAATCGTACTGCGCTTTTTAGTTTCCAAAACTTTTCCAACTCCTTGTATCTTCATTTCATTTGATGCAGTACCTCTTTTAAGTAGAGCTACCACCTCTCAAATTTTCCTGGAACTAAGTAGTAGACAAGTGAATGAATTTAAAAGGTTTCCTCTGTTACACTTAGAACATGAGAAAAGTCTCTAAGGAAAAACAACTACTGTTGGTTAGAAACGTCTCCTCATAAGCACCTGCTGATGAAGGGGGAAATGAGAACAGTAACTGCAACAACCGCAGAGGGCTGCAGTGGGCACTGGATGAGTTACAATATGTACAGCACTTAGCCAGTAACTGGCACACAGAAAGCACTAGTAGGTGTTCACTATTAATATTATTACAGAGGGCAGGGAACAATCACGCATTGGTCCAGCAAGGCTAGTCTTTGTGAACACCCACCAGGCACCAGGATGAAGCTGTGCGCTTCACCCACAGATTCCAGGAAAGTCGTATACAGCTCACTCCTTAAAGGGAATTTTCCAAACTGGAATTTCAGCTGCAGACCCAAAGCTGGGAAAAGTAGTAGTTGCCATGTGAGCCACAGCTGTGCCGTCTATATGGGATTTAGGAGAGGAGGGACTTCAAAAGAATTCTGCAAGCTCTAGGCAATTACTTACCTTCCAAGATACACCTGGAGGCAAGAGTTATGGGGAAGAAGACTGGAAGAGGGGATTTTTTTCTTTTTCTTTTTTTTGGAGCGAGGGGTTGGAGGGCCGTGTCTTCCCCACTCCCCATTTTCCCAGAACTTCAGATACCTCCTGCCCTCCCACAAACCCCTTCCAGGTCAACTGCTCACAGACAGCCCCTTCTCATCCTTTGCTATTTTTAACTAACAGCATCTTAGAGGGATGTGTTGTTTTTCTCCCGGTAGAAAACATATGAGAAGTCAAAAGAACAAATGGAGGCTGAGTTGAAAATTGACTACGACAGTTATTTGGAGTTGGAAAAGACCGTCCTCATCAATCTTGGCCTAGTCAAAGTCGCAGAGAAGACGTCATTCATAGACTCGATGTAGAAAAGCTTTCTGAAGATGTGTTTGAGGGACTTTGTGAAACCCCTCCTTCTTTTATTATTTTTTACATAAGATGAACTAGCAAACTGAACATATATAGGCTTATTTATAAATATAGGCTTTTATTTCACTGCTATTAAAAACTTTGGAATTATAACAATAAGATTTGTTTCCATTTTGTACTGAATATGTACTGAATATGAACGTTTTCAATAACAAAATTTGTATTTTCCTATAGAAATAGAGAGCTTTGGACGTTCCTACACCCAGTCCTTGCCATCCATGCAGAGGCCCTAATCCCAGGCAGAAGGGAAAATCGAACTTTGCTCTTTTACCTTTCATCCTGCTTTTCATCACCTCTCCAAAAAGTGCTTCCCCTGGGCCACTGTGCAAATTGTAGGGCCATGGGTTAAACAAAATGTTAGCAAATTGAATCCAGAAATATATATATATAGAAAATATATATATATTTTAAAGGATAACACATGAAGCTCAAGTTGGATTTATACAGAGAATATATGGTTAATTTAATCATAGAAAAGATCAGTAACTGATTAAAGGAGAGAAACTATGATAACACATAGATGCAGAAGAATATTTGATAAAATTTGACATCCATGCATGACAATAACAATAAAAAATTCTTAGCAACTACAGAAAGAAGAGAATTCCTTTAAACTGACAAAGGGCATGTAAAACAATTCTACACCAAACATCATAATTGTAAGAAGTCGGAAGCTTTCTTCCCAGACATAGAACAAGACACAGGGCTCACCATCAGGTCTCCCAGGCAACATAAGGGGCTTAATCAGTGTGGGCACAAAAAGGCAACAACAGCACGTGAAACTCTCTGAGTGGCAGATCTTGGAGTCATATTGTGAAGGTTCCCATAAAGTAAGTTAAGGAAGCTGGATTATAATTTGTGGAGAGAATTAATAGAAGGGCTAAGCAGGAAGGTGACATGATCAGCTTTATTTTGAGGAAGACAAGGAATGGATTAGAGTGCAGAGAGTCTCAGGGCAGGAAGTCCTATTAGGAGGCGGTAGTTCAAGGTAAAGGATTAGGATGCCCTGTACTAAAGCTTAATGTGGACATAGAAACGAAGGCTTTCCTGTGTCCTGCAAGCCCCGGTGCAGGCAGGCTGCTGTCTCCCGTCGTGTCCCTCAGCCCTTTGCCCTGCCTCACCCCCACCCAGTCACGCTGGCCTCCTGTTCACCAAACATGCCCGTCGTCTTCCTACCCCTTGGGTGCTTGCTGTTCTTCACTTTCTCCAGAGATCGTATTTTATTTTCATGAGTTCACTTGAAAAAATGTGCTGAGTGCCTACTATGTGCCAGGCTCTTCCATTTTAGACAACGTTGTCAGGGGAGCAAAATTTGAGCAAAGACCTGAAGGGAGCGAGGGATTTCCGGCTGCAGTCTTCTAGGAGAAGTGTGCTCCGTGACCCAATCCCCCACCCTCAGTGCAAAAGAAACTGGACTGCAGAGAAGCAGGGGTGTCATGACTGTGTGACATAAGCCATTACCTGGGGTGGGCACATTGCCGTCTTAATTAAAAGCAGGGCTTGGTTAGCATAGGAGACGAGAGTAACCGATATTGAATAAGTGTCTGCCTTAGGGTTATCAAATAAATAGCTTAGTACAGTGGCTGGTAGATAATAGCAAGCAGTAAATATATGTTGCTATTATTTTGCCTAATTTACAAACACAAAATGATTGTTAACATTCTTGCTGTAGAAACTAAACATGCAGCCCCTCCTGCTTATGTGTGCAGTTATTATCAGGTCAGGATGATATTTTCATTGTGTGTTGATAAGCTCAGCTTTTCCAAGTTTTATCACCTTCACCAGCCCACGGCCGCTGAGGGCTCAGAGAAGCAGCCGTAGCCCAGGCTCCGTGGGCTCTCGCCCCACTTGCTGATCAGGTGTCCCAGCCTTCTGCCAAGTGCCTCCAGGTGTGTCCAGTAGCCCCTGGGATGAAGGTGGAGTCACACGTGTTGGAAAACAAGCCCACACTCAGCAGGCACTCAAGGCTCCCTTCTCTCCAAATGCTAGAGCTGCCTGGTGGCCTGTACCATGGAGAGGTGCTGGGACAATGCTTCTGTGTCAGATCAAACCCAGCAAGAAGCAAACACCGAGGCAGGAGTGGATGAGCGAGAGATTTACTGGGGAGAGAGCAGCAGGAGTCCGGAGAGCCTTCAGCCCTCCACGCAGGTCTGGTGCCCGTGGAAGGAAAGAGGAAAGGACCAAGGAGGGGTGTGGGGAGGCCCAGGCCACACAGCACGTTGAACTGTACGTTGTACTGCCTTTTGTCACCCTCACCTAGAAACTCGGGCAGACTCACTGTGCCGCCGCCTCCTTCCCAGGGGCGAGTTCTCTCCGAGTCTCTCCAGCCCCTCAAGTGAATGTCCTCTGGGCTGGCTCAGACTCTAGGCGGACAAGGCCACACGTGCTGAATAACGAACGCAGCTGAGGCTCACGCTGGGGCGCTCACCACACACAGCTGGAGGTGCAGGGACACCGGGTGTGAGTGGACATGGGCTGACTGGGTGCCCCCTTCCGATCCCCAAAGCTCCAATGCTTCCCCGACTGCACTTGCCCCAGGTAGGGTAGGTATAATTACCATCCCCATTTTAGTCTTAGTTACCTCATCTGTAAAATGGGGATAATAACTGTACCTACCCTGCCTCATACAGAGACAATGTATAGAAAGTATCTGGCACATAGTTGGTGTTTCACGAATATTGTTTCCTTTTCTTGCTTATCTCGGGTGCAGGCACACACACCAGAGAAGCTGTAGCTTCCTCTTTGTTCTATTTAATAATTTCTGATTTTAATATTTTTGTTACTACTAATAACAGGAATGTCTCCCAGACTCAAATGCAACTTAAGCAGGGACTAAGCATGCCTGGTTTAATATTATCTTTTGATCATTTTAATATGAGACCACAAATGGTGGACACAGTATTTAAAATATGAACAACTTTCTTTTTTGCAAAACTTAAAATGCCACTCAGAAAATTAATCATTGTAATATTTGATTTATTTAGATTAAATTTAATTATCATTCAGCTTTACAAACTGCTTTTTACCCACCAAGAAATGTGCAATTAAACCAGCATATTTCTGGGTCCTCAGATAAACACACTGTCTGTGTGCACTTCAGACAAAAAGGCAATTAGCTCCAGTGGACAGTGGCCAGGTGCTCTTTGTAGCCTCACTAATCCACCGCTGTAAATAATTAACATCTCCCCGGGCCCTTCTACCCCGGAGCGCTGCCCAGGGTGGGTGGCATTCCACCCAGTTGCTAGGTTGCCATCGCCAGAGCAGATGCTGTGTAACTGAGCAAGGTCCTCGCAACGGAAATTAAATAAAAAGGGCAGATGAAACCCTGCGTGACGAATTCACTCCTTCCATGGTGATGAGCTGTGTGGGGGTCACACGGGCGTATGTGAAACAACTGCCACCCTGTCAGAGTAGAATCCCACACACCAACAAAACCAACCTTGGAAGTTTATGGGGAGATGATGGATTTATTTGAATTGTGTAACTGTTTTCAAATGCTTCCTTGTTAACAAATATGATATACAAAATATACACAATGTGGCAAGTAACACATGCTGTTTCCCTGCAGCAGTGCCAATGCTCCACACTTAAAAGGACAGAAAATAAAGTTCTCTAATTCACCTGTACGTGTGATATTCTGGGATGTTTTTATTCTTAAAGGGGAGAAGGAAGGATGATGTAAAATAGAAGATGTTACATTCTTCCCTGTCAATTAGAGATACATTTTCCAGCCCTTTTTAGGAATCATATTTTTAAGCATAGTTTCTCTTTGGGGAAAAAAAAAACTCTAAAAAAGAAAATAACACTAAGTCAAATCTAAAACATTAAAAACAGTCATGTCTGCAGGACTGGACAATAATTACTGAGTGTCATCGTTACAGAGACAACCAAGTAGAGTTCATGCTCAGGCTTTGTAATGTGGGGCAAATAACCTCTCTGAGCCTTCATTTCTTCATCCAAGAAATGGGGCTAATAATTCCCACTGCCCAGAATTATAAAAATTAAATAAGATAAAATACATGAAAGTACTTTGTAAAGTCTAAGTGCTATGAAAAATACCGAATAATATTTTTTTCCAAAGTGCTGAACTACTTTGGGATTCTGAGGTGACTTTTGAATCATCAAAGGAAGTTTACTATATTTTTATTACATTGTAATTCCTGATAGTGCTTAATTAACATTCTGCTAACCAAGATGTTCCATTCTCTCACCCCACTGGATAAACAATATACATATATTATCAGCCAATTAATTAGGCTTAATTATATATGTCTTAAAGTTTGAAACTTAGAAAAATGGAAAAAAATCAGACATTATTTTATGAAAGAGAGCCACCTGTTTAAAAGGTAGGATAGCATTTTGTATGTCCCTCTCAACCCCATCCATGTCAACCAGAGAACCACATAGACATCACTCAGTTGTATGTGTTTTATTTTTTGAGACTATCAGAATTTTCTTTTCATTTCTCCAACAGTCCATCTCAGCGCAGCATTAGGAGAGGGCAGACCACAGAAAAACACCTAGGCTCTACAGAGGGAGTGCTGGGGAGGGGTCTGGTCCTCAGAAATGAAACAGTGTAGACAGAGTTCGAAACAAAAAGACTCTGCATCAGTTCATTGTAAGAATCTTAATTTTAATTGATTGAGAATACCAGAAAATCTGAGTGGGGAAGAAGGTGGCAGAAACCATTCGTGCCTGTCCAATATCCACGTGCACCTCTACATTTGTTGGTCTCAGAAGTGAGATCGGGGCTTTGTGACTGAATTCTAGCCAGTAGGATGTGGGTGGAAGTGATGGAAGCCACTCCGGCTCTGACTAACCCATCTCAGGAAATCCTCCAACTTTATCTTCCTGTGCTATGTATTCCAGAGGCCATAATTTATAAAATAGAGAAAAGTTTCTCTACCTGTATCAGACTTTTCACAAGCAGGAAATAACC